AGGGGGGAAGGAGAAGGATTTGGATGGGGGGAGGGGGGAGGCTGGGAAGGGATGGGAAGGGTAAACAAAGGAGGAGGCTGCAATGCTTGGTAAAAAATGTACACATTATCCTGCCCATGCAATTGTAACCCCTCTGTACAGTATGTTCACAAATAAAATAAAATTAAATTAAAAAAAAAGAGTATGGCTCTATGCCTATAATAAGAGCTATTCTTTGTGTAAAACCTAATTATACCCTAGCTTTATTTTTTACCACACACTCCTATTTCTTTCATCTGTTAAACTGAAATAGTGTCTTTAACCGGTAACATATGGATGGCCTCAGATCTGAGACAGAAAATGGTCCAGGGCAAAGGCAAGTATTTTGAGTAATTACCATCTTTTAAAATTTCTTCGCTGAGGATCATGCCTCTAACCACCCTAAGTATACCATGAGAATCAGACCCTCGAGCTGGCTGCATTTTGCTGTTGGGAAATAGATACTTTTTAAATTTTGCTAAAGTTCAAAGATTTCCCACAACCTTCACTAGAAATATGAACCTTCATTAGAAAGGTCAAAGGATCCTCTTCCAAATTATACAGCATCTTTGTATCAGCAAAGGTATGAACCTAGACTTACTGGCTCCCTTCATTTGGGGCCTTCCTATTATACAGTAGTGACATATTGCTCCAGATTCATGTAATTCTTAGCACCATACCAGGTTCTGCATTGTGCAATTTCTCTTTTTGGTCCCTGGACAACTCCATGTGCTAGGAACAATAAATGCAATTGCCCCTTCTCACTTTGCAAATAAGAAGGCAGCAATAACTCAAGAAGACTCAGTCATTTCTAACAGCTCTTTTCATCATGCTATCCTGCTCGGCTGGTGCTTTCCATTAACGAATGCTGAGAAAACAAGTCGGAAACACCAGAATTTAAAATATAACTCACTGAAAACGAACAGTTGCACATTTATGTAAAGATGGAAAACTCTATGGTGGTTGCATGCCTACAATCCCAGAACTTGAGGCTGAGGCAGGAGGATCAATGGTGAAGCAGACTCAAAGAAGAGAAGAGGGGAGAGGAGAGGAGAGAATAGAAGAGAAGGAAGAGAGAGGAAAAAAAGAGAAAGAAAGTAAAGAGGAAGAAAGAGGGAGGGAAGGAATAAGGGAAGGAGAAGGGAAGAAAGAGAGAAGGAGGGGGTGGGAGAGAGAGGAGGGAAGGAAAGAAGCAGCTAACCTGTTAGATCGAATTCTCTAACTTTGCTTTTACAAATCCGAATTCACGAAGACTGGAGTGCCAGGGATTACTTTTCTAACAAAAGCACCCTAATCACGTTGAAACAGAAATTTCATGTAGACTGCCTTATTTCTGACTCACATGCGTCTCTGTTTTCTCGGTTTCTCCTCAGAGGCTCACAGCCAAAGGCCATTTGACATGGCAAGTGTTCCTGCGTGGCCCCTGGGGAGCAGGCGACCCGGGTGCCTGGCTTAGCCCCCTCTTGTCTCAACCCTTGTATCTAATCGTGAGACCGTCTGGTCTGCAGACCGTTCCATCCGCTGCCAGGGGCGGATTCACAGCAACGTGGGGATTTCAACCTAAGGCTCCATTCGCTCTCTGCACATGCAGGTTTCCAAATGTGTATTTAGAAGGATGTAAGCAGAAGGCACGAACGGTACTTGGTCCAATGTCACATCTTCCTCCCCGGAGACCCCAGGGTGCAGCCCGAGACTGGGGGACAGTGACCCGGCCTGGGGCCCCAGCACCTGTTCCTGACAGCCAATGGGCCCCGGGGGCGCGGGGGGCGGGGCCCTGCCGGTGGGCGGGACAGCCCCCCCCCCCCACCGAGGGTACATAAGGGAAGCGGTGGGCCGGGCCCGGCGTCCCGCTCCGCTCCGGCCCAGCAGCAGCAGCAGCAGCAGCAGCAGCGAGGCAGCGCGGGGAGAACCGGGGACAGTTCCGCTGGCGGAGCAGCCGGGCCGGGACGATGCTGCGGGTGCGGTGCCTGCGCGGGGGGAGCCGCGGCGCCGAAGCGGTGCACTACATCGGGTCTCGGGTGCGTGATCTCCTCCGCCACACACGCGCGCGCGCACACGCACACGCAGATCGGGCCTGGCGGAGACCCAGCCAGAGCTGCGTGCGGGACGCGTCCCCGTCCGGTCCCCGCAGGGAAGCTCCGCCTCAGGAGGCTTCCTTCGCTCGCTACCAGGAACTTGGAGCTCCCCGCACCCCCCCCCCCGTACCTTCCCGCACCTCCCCGGGGCTCCGAGCTTCCCGACCCCTGGGCCGGGAGGTGGGGAACCACCTGGGGGGAGGCGCTGCTGGGGCTCGGTGATTTGCACCGGGTGAAGAGTTGAGGAGCTGGCGGGGGGCGGATGGATGGGGAGCAGGCCGGGGGGGGGGTGTGTGGCTGGGGCCCGGGGCCGCCAAGGTGGAGTGAGTTCCTCCAGACTTCCCGCGCTGCCCGGCGCTCCCCCTCTCCCCCTCGGGCCGTCGGTACTTGGCGGCTGACCCTCCACCCTCCCCGGCCCCCCGACAGGAATAGCTCCCGGCGGTTTGGCTCCCCAGCAACTGGTTGTGGAACAGCTGTCGCCCTCCCTCCTGCTTTGGTCTCCACTCTGTGACTCTCCTGCCCCCCCCCTCCTTTTTGTCGGTCCTGGGGCTTGAACTCAGGGGCCTGGGCGCTGTCCCTGAGCCTCTCCGGGTTCAAGGCGAGCGTTCTAGCGCACACAGCACCACGTCCCGCTTTGCGGGGTGGTTTATTGGAGATAAGGGTCTCAAGGGCTTTCCTGCCCTGGGCTGGCTTCGAACCCGTGATCCTCAGATCTCAGCCTCCTGAGTAGCTAGGATTACAGGCGTGAGCCACTGGCTCCTCCTGCCCTCTTTTAACAGTTATTTTTTGGGGTGGTAGGAGGGTAGGAATGTTACCAGTGGTTGGGGAACTCTTTCTTCTGTAGATTTTACATGCCCCGGTTTTGGTTTTGGTTTTGGGTTTTTAAGTTTAAATGTGTGCCTGGGTCAGTCGTTGTTTTAGGTAAGGAAGTGGGTCATCTGTAAGAAGGTGCAGCTGACAGTTGGTCAGCCTCAGAACCCAAGTGCCAAAGAATGTGAAGTGGATGGAGGGCTTAATGCTGATTATTCTGAAAGATAAGGCCCTGAATATGTTTCCACATTGTTATCTGCAGGGGAAAGGACGGTGGTTGTAGATTCTGAAAGGGAAAGGAGGCTCTCTCCACCAGCTGGTGGTGGCTGGGAGTGTTGGGACAATTATCTGGAAGGAGAGACCATGGTCTGTGGAAGAGTTCAAGAGTCACTGGAAGCCAGTCTGCTGAGATAGTCATGGAGGAGTGTGGCAGCTAGGGACAAAACCTTCAAAGTTTTTTTTTTCTTTAAGTTTTAGTGATTAGCCCAAGAGATAAAAGAAATTCTGTACACAAAGGCAGAAGTAAAAAAGAAATCACCCGTAATGCTTTTATACCCATGTACTATTAACATCTTGGTTTTCGATCCCTTAAAGGATTTGAAATATTTGCATTATAGTGTGGTCTTGGTTGTTTTTTGTTTTGTCTTTGTTTTGTACCATTTTGCCCCATATCCATTTCTTCTTACCCCCATGGATGGGACTGAGCTACACAGTAATCTTTTCATTATTGTCCTTCAAAGCTAGGACGAATCTTAACAGGATGGGTGCAGCGAACTTTCCAGAGCACCCAGGCAGCTCCAGCTTCCTCCCAGAATTCCTGTGCAGCTGACGACAAGGCCACTGACCCCCTGCCCAAAGACTGCCCTGTCTCCTCCTACAACGAATGGGACCCCTTAGAGGAAGTGATCGTGGGCAGAGCGGAAAACGCCTGTGTACCACCATTCACCGTGGAGGTGAAGGTAAAGCAAGGGTGTACATGTGTCTAGAGGCGGGTCCTGTCCTCCCTCTAGAGTACTGGCTTCTACCACCTTCCTTCTCTGAAAACTGCCCTCACTTTAGCAGGGGTTAATTTTACTTCCTATCTCTGTGGTATGTGACATTATCTACATCTATCCCTTCCCTCTTCAAACCCCACTTGGATTCTGTGAGATCCTACCTGACTCATCAGGTTAGTTTATTCCCTGTTTTCAAACTCAAATTTGATCATGTTACTCACTGTGATCCCATCACCCCCTCTGCTTTGCCAAGGCCTCCATAGATGTGAATAAAGTCCTCATTGTATTCATGATTCTGCATAAGCTATCTCTTATATCTTCATTTTTCCAGGAACATTCCCCCACCCACATTTTAATATTGATATTAGAGATATATAAGCATGGCAGGTTAGTAGTTTCTCATTCCTGTTTAAGTTGTTCTCTCTACTAAATTTCCAGCCTGATTTTCACCAGACTTTGTCAGACAAACATATAAGCAGCCAAGAAACCCTAACAAGCTCCATGCCTTCGTTCTCATATGTTTCTCCCACCTGTTTTCCTGAACCCCCTTATATATAGTTTAAGCCTAGCCCTACTTAGTTCCAAAGCATTCCCAAAGCTTCCCTAAAAACAACTAACATCTCCCTCTAAAAAGAAGAAGAATTTCTAGTATTCTTTATCTGTATAGTATTCTGTATCCAGTATACAATCCTAATGGCCAGGACTCCTATGGACTTCTATTCATACAGTATGTCACATAAGGGACCTTTCCATATTGAAGACAAAGCCTAGAGCCCATTGTTAATAGGTTACAAATGAATTATCAATATATTTACGTTCTTTATGAGTATCTGCACTTCATTTGAATGCAGAGGATATAAGTTCTGTAGAAGCATTATTACCATCATTCAAAGAATTGTCTACCATGTAACACAATTCTATAGGTTTCAAAACCAAAGAACTACCAGGTGATGGTGGTTCATGCCTGTAATCCTAGCTACTCGGAAGGCTGAGATTGAGGATTGCAATTTGAAGCCAGCTTGGGACAGGAAAGCCTGTGAGACTCCTATCTCCAATAAACTACCAAAATGCCAGAAATGAAGCTGTGGCATAAGTGGTAGAGTGCTAGCATTGAGCAAGAGAAGTTCAAGGACAGCACCCAGGCCTAGTTCAAGACCCCAGGACAGGCACCAAAAAAAAAAAAAAAAAGAAAAGAAAAAAAAGAACTTCCTATCTATTTTGAGAAATATGTTGCCTACATAGATACAAGCAACCAACTGAAAGGCAGTTCAAATGAAAGGAGAGCTAAGAATAGAGCAGTGACCAAGTGTGGATAGTTAAGGAAATCTGGAAGAAAATGATTCTTAAGACTTGGACAACAGGATAATATAGAAAACTTATAAGTAATTATTCTGAAACCAACCTTTGAGTCTCATATTTGAAATTTGATGAACAGATTAATTTACTGCCATCCCCATCTTTTTTTTTTTTTCTGTCGGTCATGGGGCTTGAACTCTGGGCCTGGACACTGTCCCTCAGCTCTTCAGCTCAAGGCAAGCACTCTACCACTTGAGCCACAGCACCACTGCTAGTTTTCTGGTGGTTTATTGGAGATAAGAGTTTAACGGACTTTCCTGCCCAGGTTGGCTTTGAACTGCAATCCTCAGATCTCAGCCTCCTGAGTAGCTAGGATTATAGGTGTGAGCCACCAGTACCCAGATCATCCCCATCTTTTTTTTTTTTTTTATAAGTCCTGGGGCTTGAACTCTGGGCTTGGGCGCTGTCCTTGTGCTCTTCAGCTCAAGACGAGCACTCTACTGCTTGAGCCACAGTGCCACTTCAGGTTTTCTAGTGATTTATTGGAGATAAGTCCCTCAGACTTTCCTGCCCCGGGCTGGCTTTGAACCGAGATACTCAGATCTCAGCCTCCTGAGTAGCTAGGATTACAGGCGTGAGCCACTGGCACCGGGCCCATCCCATCTTTTAAAAAGGCTTTTTTTTTTTTTTTTGAAGTACTGGGGTATGAACTCAGAACCTCATATTTTGTTCTGCGGGCATTCTGCTGAGCCCTGCCTCCTGCTCTTTTCCACAGTGGTGATTTTTGAGATAGGGTCTTGTTTCCTTCCCAGACGGGCACTCGAATGGTGATCCACTCATGTTACACTGCATGTCATAGCTAGCATGACAAGCATGTGCTACCTCACCCAGCTTCTGCCATTGAGATGGAGCCTTCCTGCTTTTTCTGCCTCAGGTCTGGACTGGGACCACAATCTTCCTCTATCTCAGCCTCCCACAAAACTAGGATGACAGGCATGTACCACTGTACTGAGCTATGACTTGAGAAGAGGTCTCACAAACTTTTCTGCTCAGTCTGGCCTTGACCCACAATCCTCCCATTCTCAGTCTCCCAAATAGCTAGAATTACAGAACTGTTTTTTTGTTTTGTTTTTAGTTGTTGTTTTTTTTAAAGAAGTCAACTAATCTCCTAGCTATTCTGAATGATTTTAAAGTTAAAATTCAAGCAACAGTGTATCATTGTTACTTATCTTTAAAATGATCGATCTTTTTTCATATCATGTGGTCTTCAGAAATCAAATTTCTCAGATGGTATTTTGAGTTGTCACTTGACTTATTACTTGACTTTGCAGCTTCATAGGCCTGTAGAAAGTAGAATATCAGGGGCTGGGAAGGTGGCTCAGTGGTAGAGTGCTTGCCTTGCATGCAGGAGGCCCTGGGTTCAATTCCTCAGCACCAGATAAGCAAAAAAAGCCAGAAGCGGTGCTGTAGCTCAAGTGGTAGACTTGAGCTGAAGAGCTCAGGGACAGCACCTAGGCCCAGAGTGCAGGCCCCATGACTAACTATTTTAAAAAAAAAAGTAGTACATCATGCTAAAGTTAGGAGATGGGAACTGAATTAGGTATTTGATAAAAATCTGATAGGTAGTCTAGATACACCAGCTATTTGACCTTGTACAGAAATTTTACAAACTTCTAGGCCCCAGTAAAGTGGAGAAACTGAGAAGTTTGGTAAATTCAGAGGCTTTCTAAGTACTTAACAAGATTAAATTTGGAGGTTAAAAAAAAAGCATGTATGTTGAGTATTTGTAAGAACAAAGCTAAAACTTAATGGATCCATTTTGTCAGTTACATTATAAAGGAACATTGGGGAGCCAGGTGCCAGTGGTTCATGCAGGTAATCTTAGCTACTCAGGGGGCTGAGACTCCTACCTTCAATTAGCCACCAAAAAAATAGAAATGAAGTTGTGGCTTAAGTGATGTTCACCACTAGCCTTGATCACAAAAGCTCAAGGATAGCACCCAGGCCCTGAGTTCAAGCCCTGGGATTTGCATATTTTTAAAAAAGTATATTGGGGTATAATGACTATAGAAACACTGGCAATTTGTTGGAAGATATGAGCATGAGAGAAATTCAGATTTTTGTGTTCAAGGCTAATGCTAGACTACTTGAGCCACAGCGCCACTTCCGATTTTTTTCTGAGTGGTTATTGGAGATAAGAGTCTCATAGGGACTTCTCTGCGCTGGCTTTGAACCACATCCTCAGATCTCAGCTTCCTGAGTAGCTAGGATTAAAGGCATGAGCCACCAGCACCTGGCTATGGGAGCACAATTTTATTTTATTTTATTTTTTTTTTTTTGGTCATGGGGCTTGAACTCTAGGCCTGGGTGCTGTCCCTCAGCTCTTCAGATCAAGACAAGCATTCTATCACTTGAGCCACAGCACCACTTCCAATTTTCTGGTGGTTAATTGGAGATAAGAGTCTCATGGACTTTCCTGCCTGGGCTGGCTTTGAACCCCGATCCTCAGATCTCTTGAGTAGCTTGTTTACAGGCATGAACCACCAGCGCCTGGCAGAAGCACAATTTTTAAAAGCTAACTGGCCTTTTATTTTTAAAACATCCTTGCTTTTGGTTTTGCTTTAATCTGTTAAAAAATAATAAAGCCCATTATAAAGAATCTTTCTATAAAAATTAAGCTTAAGGGTTAATAAAATACAAAGTAATTGCTAGATAAATAAGAAATGTTTCTATATTGATTTTTATTAGCTTTCCAAAAACAGATAAAAATTCATTTGGTGAACCACATAAAAGATTTTAGGCTCTAGAGGACTGTAAAGTTCCCAGGAATGCAATCACATGGCTGCAACATATTAATAAAAACATCATATGCTCAACAAGTGTTCATTATCTTGCAGATACTTGGTAAATGATTGCTAACTCATTTAGCAAGGTTATAAAGGAAGTATAATCAATTTCTAATTATCTTTTGGAAAATATAATTTGCCCTGATCATTTGGACTTTGTCTAACCTTTGACAAATTATAACTCACACTTGTTCAAATAGCTTTTTTTCTCCAAGGAAAGTTTATTTAACATATACCAAGGCAAACTTTACACAAATAGTCACACAGGACACTTTGGAACTAGCCTGGTAAGACAATACAACTGTGTGACTGCTATAATTCAGTGTCCAGTTTTCAAAGGCTTCTTGTCCCTCAGCGGATTGTAGGAGATGTGCCTGGCATGTGAAGGAGGAAGTGGTGAATGGATGAGTACTACCAAGATGTGTCCAAAAGGAATATAAAGTCACTATTATCCTCTCTTTCTAGTTGCTGCTGCAGAAATCGCTAGGGCTGGAACACTTGAGTGCTTCATTTGTTTTGTTTTGTTTTTTTGAAAGAGTGATCTATCCTTTAAAATATTTGAATGTTTAATACTGATAAAAAATCTTTTATGGGTCAGAAACTGAGTCTGCCATAGATCTTCAAAAGTAAGTAAAGGAGTTAATGATTCTGAACTAGGGGTCAGCAAAGTTTTTCTGTTCGGGGTCAGATGATTCAGGTTTGTGGAACATGGATCTATGTGGCAAATATTCAACTCTGCTCTGCCACTGCTATGTAAAAGAAGCCATAAGGCAATGTGGAAACAAATGAGCATGCCTATGTTCCCATGAAACTAGTCACAAAAAGGTACTGAGCAGATTTAGCCTGTAAACCTTAGTTTACTAATCCCCCCTTTTTTTTGGCATATAACTTCCGAGAATTTTCCACAAGCTAAGTTTTTCTTCAGCTACTAAATTACTGTGAATTCACTCATCAGATCATTTTCTTGGGCTGGGAAGGTGGCTCAGTGGTAGAGTGCATGCCTTGCATGCATGAGGCCCTGGGTTCGATTCCTCAGTACCACATAAACAGAAAAAGCCGGAAGTGGCGCTGTGGCTCCAGTGGTAGAGCGCTAGCCTTGAGCTAAAGAACTGAGGGACAGCACCCAGACACAGAGTTCAGGCCCCATGACCGGAAAAAAAAAAAAATTCTGAGTACAGATCATTTTCTTCTATGACCAAAGAGCCTGAAGTGACATGATAGCATATATAATCTGAAAAGTAAAGAAGTATCGGTGGTATGAGTACTACAGGGAATTGACAGGAAAGTAAGGACAAAGCTTGACTTGAATGTTTCCAGGTGCAAACTCTCTCTAGTGAACAGGAAAGTCAATAATGGGTTTCTGAGAAAAGCAAAGGTTTTGTTTTTAGGAGAAACTATATCTCTAATCTTAACAGGGGCAACATACTTTCCTTTGTCACAAAATATCTTGGGGTGCTGTTTTCCAGACAGAATTCTGGGGTGCATTGATAGCCTGTTTATTTTCCCAGTTAGTATAGGGTATTTTTATTCTCTATATTGTGTGGGGTTTTTTTCTCATGCTGAATTCCACTGAGACTTTCTAACAGGAGTGCCTGTGTCCTGTTTTGTCTGTGAATCATGGCCAAGAGGATTCCAAGCCTGTCTGGAGACAGACATGCTATTAGTGGTTGGGCATGAGATCTGAGACAGAAGGATCAGAAAAGCCTCAAAATATTAAGATAATTTAGAGTTCTTCTTTCAGCACATATTGAATGTTTGTCTAGAGAGCCAGAGTGTGCTGCTAGGGATCAACAATGAACAAAACATGGTTCTAGTCTCAATTCCATTATGTTATACAAAGAGTTGCACCAGCTATGAACTTACCTTAAGTTGTCTGTTTCTTCTGTAATTATTTCATTGACTTTCTTCTGTTTCTAGGCCAACACATATGAAAAGTACTGGCCATTTTATCAGAAGTATGGAGGGCATTCTTTTCCCAAAGATCATTTGAGAAAGGCTGTGGCTGAAATTGAAGAAATGTGCAATATTTTAAAAATGGAAGGAGTGACAGTGAAAAGACCTGACCCCATCGACTGGTCCCTGAAGTATAAAACTCCAGATTTTGAATCTACAGGTCAGTGCTTCCAGAAAGCTAATGTAGCCAAGCACTAGGTAGCACACTCCTGCAATCCTAGCTTCTCAGAAGTCTGAGATCTAAGGATTGTGGTTCAAAGCTAGCCCCGGCAGGGATTCTTATCTCCAATAAATTACTCAGAAAAAGCTAGAAGTGGCACTGTGGCTCAAGTGGTAGAGCACTAGCCTTGAGCACAAAGAGGCTCAGGGACACTACCCAGACCCTGAGTTCAAGCCCCAGACTGACAAAAAGAAAAAAAAAAGAAAAGAAAAGAAAGAAAGCTAATCTGTAAGTGACTTGACTTTCTCTTTCTTAAACATGTAGGGAGAGAGCTCTCAGAAAGCCTTCATTGTAACTTTGGTAGAAAGAAGCAGTCTTTCATAACATCATGATAATCTCTCTACATAACAGCAGTGAATTCCATCTAGTTTCCCTTAAGAACAGAAATTTAAAGAAATATAAACATTACCATTTTCTTTTTTTTTTTGGTCCAGTCGTGGGGCCTAAACTCTGGGCCTGGGCGCTGTCCCTCAGCTCTTCAGCTCAAGGCTAGCGCTCTACCACTTGAGCCACAGCACCACTTCCGGCTTTTTTCTTTTTGCTTATGTGATGCTGAGGAATTGAACCCAGGGCCTCATGCATGCAAGGCAAGCACTCTACCACTGAGCCACCTTCTCAGCCCCCACCATTTTCTTTTTAACTAACACTGTTACACAGCTAGTCGTGTGCTTTAGTTCTATAACTTATAGTTACAGAATTATCCTTTGTTTTGTGATATTGGTAGTCTTGAAGAATTTCATTTATACAAGAAAGTACAAATGGAGCAAGCTTGTGGTTGAGGATCTCTTTGAACAGCCAGTTTTTTGCCTTTTTTCCCCCTTTTCCTCTTTTGCTTGTCTTCCTCACCCTTGTACAGAACTTCATTAGAAAGTATTAATTGAATAAAGTAATGGGCTTCATTATGATTTGTCCATATATGTGTAATGTCTCCAAACATATTCAGCATATCTATGTCCTTTTCCCCTTCTATATCTCTAATAAATCCTCCTTTTATGTCTTTTCCCCTTAAATTCCACATTTGAGAGAAAACATGTAATACTTGTTTTTGTAAGACTGCTCACTTAACACAAAGATCTCCAGTTTCATCCATTTTCCTGCAAACAACATAATTTCATTCTTCTTTAGGGTGCGCTAAAACTCCATTGTGTATACATATGATTCTACATATATATACATATTAGTAATTATTTTTACCAAAGAGTTAGAACACATTATACATACTGCTCTATTTTGGAAATCTGTTGTACAGAGATGGTTGTGGAATTTTTCCTTTTGGTCTGACAGGTTTATACAGTGCGATGCCACGAGACATCCTGATGGTTGTGGGAAATGAGATTATTGAGGCTCCCATGGCATGGCGTGCACGCTTCTTTGAATACCGTGCGTACAGGTCAATTATCAAAGACTACTTCCATCGTGGCGCCAAGTGGACAACAGCTCCTAAACCCACAATGTCTGATGAGCTCTATGATCAGGTTAAGTCTCTAATTATAGGCTAGCTTGTTAATAACTTTTCTAAATAATCCAAGAGTAAGAAATTCTCTGTTTAAATATTGAACATACCAGAAAGTGAGAGCATCACCTACTTTAAAAAAAAAAGTGATTGTGGTACAATGAAAACAAGAGTAAGTGATCTTGTGATAACTGTTAGTATTAATTATAGCTAACATTTATTTGTTGCTTACCTTGTACTGAATCCTGGGCTTAGCTATTTCTTTGCATTGTCAATCATGTTTTGTTCTTTAGAACAATCCTAAGAGAGAGAGGAGTTATCATTTCATTACAGGGAGAAGTTCTCCTGGGGTACTCTTTTATTTGTAGAAGTCAGAAAAGTCCCTAGGCTTAAGTCCTCTTCTAGAAAAAGAACCTGACCTACTGGCAGATTCACAGTAAAACCAGACAGTTATCCCTCCTTATCTACAAACATCTGTAGGTTCAACCAACTTCAAACAAACATCTTAAAAATACTGTCTATACTGAACACGTACAGACTTTCTTCTTGTCATTATTCCCTAAACAACAGAGCAGCCTATCTTTTACATGCATTTACATTGTTAGGTAGTATAAGTAATCTAGAGATGATTTAAAGGAAGATATGAATAGATTATATGCAAATGCTCTATCATTTTATATGAACACCCATGGTTTTTGGTATCTGTCAGGGGTTCTGGAACCATTCCCTCCTGCAGACAAAATAAGTGATTTTATGTTCCTTATTAAATCATTTACTATTTGATTACTTACAGAAAAAAATTAAATCAAAATTTTTTTCTAAGGGTTTAAAGACAGAATTAATGAATTAATTCTACCACATCAAAATTTAGCAAGGAAGCATGGTATTTCATTTATGGTATCAGTTAGGCTTAGGTCCAAATTCCTTTTCTTTTTTTTTTTTT